ACAAGAAAATTGTGTTGGGGAGGTTAAAAAAGTTACCACCAGGAAAGAAGGCAGTACCATGTAAGTGGGTGTGTATAAAGTGAGAACCAATCCACATGGGTCCATTGACAAGTACAATGCTCGGCTAGTTGTCAAAGGTTAATCACAAAGAAAAGGTGAAGATTACGTCCAGACTTGCAGTCCTGTAGCCAAAGGAGAAACAATTAGGTCACTGCCCAGTATTGCTGCTAGCAAGAATATGACACTCACTAAGTTCGATGTTCCTATGTAGGTACTGCATTTCTGTATGAAAAACTAAATACTTAATAGATAAGTCTATATGAAGCAACCAGATGGGTATGATTGGTATAAATATGGAATTATCTGGTCTGTAAACTTCAGCGCAGTCTTATTTATGGGCTAAAACTAGCACATAGTTGTTGGAATCAAAGATTCACCAATTACATAGAAGTTCTTGGTTTTAGAAGATCAGATACTGACCCTTGTTTCTTCATAAAGAAAGTTGAAGAAGGCATACTTCTACTAGTATTATATGCAGATGATGGACTCGCGTCAACCAATGACAAATTGAAGGATTCCTTCTTAGAAAGTTTACGAAGAGAAGAAGAATTTAAAATTACCATTAAACGAGCTTCTCATTTTTTGGGTTTAGAAATTAGAAGAACTGGAAATGGTGCAGTAGAAATAAGCCAAACAGCTTATACAAGAAAATGTCTTGACCGCTTTGAAATTCAAAACTGTAAACCTGTATTGACGCCAATGGTGAAAGAAGGTGTACAATTAGGGAGGAAGAATTGAACACTACAACTACATTTCCAACCACTATCGACCAGACATTGTTTATGCAGTTAGTGTTGTTTCCCAGAAACTCGAGAATCCCTCATACAGAGACGTTGGAAGAGTTTAAAGAATTTTACGTTACCTAAAAGGTACCATTAAGATTGGTTTGATATATAAACCAGGAGTACCAAAAGATATTAGAGTCTTCAGTGACGCAGACTATGGTGTCGATGAAACCACAGGACGCTCAACCTCAGGAGTTTTAAGTATTTTTGCTGATGGGGCAATCACGTTGCTAAGCCAAAGACAGCCATGAGACATCAGACACTTGTTTGTCCATGAGCTGGTATTAGATGGCCGAATAAAGTTGAAAAAGTTCCATCTGAGAATCAACTTGCGGATCTCATGACAATAAAGAAATATCGTCTTTAAATGTGACAGTTTTCATTCTTCAAAGTCCTACTAAGATCCGCTCTAAACGCTTCAACATTACCAGAATTGAGAATTTTACCTAAATCCTTAAATTCTTGTGGATTAGTATGGACACACCTTGCTGGGTCTTTTATATTTTGCTATTCCTGAGAAAAAGTGATCATAGTACCCTAAATTTTCTGAGCCTTGCCTTTTCTTTTTAGTCTTTGTTAGTACGAGTATATCCATACCTACCTGCATTCCTTGTTTCCGAGATAACGTCCTTTATTTTCTGCAAGAGGCCTTGCACGTTCCAAGTACCAATTGCTTTTTATAATACCTATTACTAAAAATGAATACTTACCTACCTACTGAATGAATGTAATTATGTAATATCAAATGAAAAATAAATTCCGACACAAAAAAAGTAAACAGCGAAACGAAATAATTGTGGAATAAGAAAATCAGAATTCAGTATTGCTGGACCCGAAAAATCCAAAATAATTTGGTAAATTTTAGAAAGATATCAATAAATTGATATTAAAATTTGCCTCTCTGATGTCTTGGACAATTAATTCATAAAAAAGAAACAGTGTTTTTCCTCCTCATGGCACTCGAAAAACCCGAGGAACAAATCGCTGGTGTATTAGTTGGAGTTTTTGGCATTTTTTGTGGAATTACTGGCATTTTTGTGGAATTCTTGGTATTTTTGTGGAATTCATAGTATTTTTGTGGAATTTTTTGGTAATTTTGTGGAATTATTGGCATTTTTGTGAAATTCTTTATATTTTTTTGTATTCTTGCATTTTTGTGGAGTTTTCTGGCATTGTCGTGGACGTGGACGTGGACGAAGTTACGCACAAGACTTCTAAAAGTCAATATCGAAGTAGTTTTGGGTAATTATTTTGTAAGGTATGAACATATTGACTGAATCATTAGCGAGATTAACAGAAGTACCTAAACATTTAGTCAGCAGAAGTCTAGAAGACAAATTGAACTATAAAAGCGCACAGTAGATCGGTCACTCTCGAGATAGAGGAGCTCTGGGCTGGGATTCTGTAACAAATAGAGACATGTTCGCTATCTCTATTGACGTCCCCTGTGTATTGATTTCGAAAAGAGAGAACGAGACAGCAAGTGCCATAGCGATATCGATAAATTCCACGATTTAGCTGACCATGCATGAATCAGCTGGCCGGTACAATAGTCTTTTTGGAAGAAATCCAAAATCCAGGTTACGCAAGGTATGGACGGTATGGTACTCCCTCGATGGGTACTCTACTTTTAAAGACATAAATTAATAGATAATTTTATACCAATAAACTGTTATAATTACTATACTTATAAAAATTATTAATTTTATTTGTACTAAAAATAATTAACTAAAGAAAAATAAGCTAATGAGAATACTGTTCATAACTTTATTAAACTGATCAAGGTATTTCAATCAGATGAAGAATTAAATCATATTATGTTTCGGCCCAGTCTTTTCAACAGTCAACTTTGCGAGGATTTATTCCGTTTTGCTAGATCACTAACATCTACCTACATTTTCAAAGGTGATTAAGTCATCAGAGATGTTTTTATTTTTCCAAGAGAGCAAAAGAAACCAAGTAGGTGCCTACCAAGTATCAAAAAATTAATTATTATTGATAAAAGTGAATATCACAGCGATTATTTATGAATCGTTAGAAGAAGCTTATGTAGATGCTTCAAGCTTAGGTATGTTAGTCAAAAGAGAAGACGGCTCGAACCCTGACCGAGACCTTGAATGACATTGAGAAAAGTACTAGAGTAGGTACTAGTACTGAATATGTCGGGGCTATTGACGGATGAAATAGTGCAAACTTCCACGCAAGCAACAATTTTTTGAAATTTCTTGTACAAAGGATGATGCACACTTCAAATGGAATTTTAAAAAATCCACGATTTTGATGAAATTTTGGTATGTTGTAGATCTCAATCTTCTGATCGAAAGTTCTCATGGGCCCAAGATGATCCTATGACTGGTTTTCGAAATACAGTGGCGGGTATGGGGTTACCCAAAATTCGAGTAAATAGAAATTATTTCACAAAAGGTAAACTTCAATACGAAAAGTGTTAAAATTAATTGAATCCTATTTTTATTGGCCATGGTAGATGTCAGGAAACAATTTCTATCTACAGGGGGTACTCAAAAAATATAATCCTTCTGTTTAATTTACACTTTTTATACAAAAATCGGATGTTCAAGTTAAACTAAAATAAAATAATATGATATAAACATTTCTACCCTAGTCTCAGGCGCAAATGGTACTGGAAGTTATAGGCAGTACCAAGATACACCGTCTAGGGTACTTACCTAGAAAGACTTACAAATCACTTGGAGGTTGGTTTGAGGGGGTGAAACTAATAATTGCGATTCATCGAAAAAAAAGTTTTTGTGAAAATATGAATATTTTCATCCTAGTCTCGGGCACAACTGGTGCTGGAAGTTATAGGCAATACCAAGATATACCGTTTAGGGTACCTAGAAAAGCTTGCAAATAACTATGAGTGTGGTTTAAGGGGGTAAAACTTATAATTGGGAAAAATTCAGTTCGTCCTTTTCCAGGAAAAAAAAAGGGTGCCCTAATCTCGGGTTCAAATGGTACTGCAAGTTATAGACAGTTCCAATATACACCGTTCAGGGAATCTCAGTTGACTCGCAAATTACTTTCGGGGTGGTTTAAAGGGGTAAAACTAATTATTGCGATCCATGAAAAAAACGGTTTTTATGAAAATATGAACATTTCCACCCTAGTCTCGGGCTCAAATGGTACTGAAAGTTATAGGTATATAGCACCAAGAAACACCGTTTAGGAAACCTCATTTGATTTGCAAATTTCTTTGAGGGTGACTTAAGGGGTTAACGCTAATAACTGCGATTCATCGAAAAAAGGGTTTTTGTGAAAATATGGATATTTCCACCCTAATCCAATCCACTTAGTATCCAGATACAATGCGTGAAATAAACGTAGTCTTTATCACTTTTTGTATTAAAGTTTACCTTTCCCGGAAAAATTTCTATTTATTCGGATTTTTGGGTAGCCCCATACCCGCCACTGTATTTCGGAAACCAGACATAGGATCATCTTGGGCCCATGAGAACTTTTGATCAGTAGATCGAGGCCTACCACATACCAAAATTTTATTAAACTGGTGGATTTTTCAAAATCCCATCTAAAGTGTGCATCATCCTTTGACCAGAGATTTGCCCCTCAAGAAAACCGTACAGAAATAATTCTTTATCGTTTTTTTGATTTAATTTTTTGTTCAAAAATAATAGGTACCAGACCATCAAGCATTATCAATTATCATTATTAGCAGAAACTGCTATGCAATTGTTGTCTCTCCGCTTCTCTGATAAAGCCTTCATGATTACCTAAGTGATTTACAGGGCCAGGAGCGTATCAAACTTGGGATAATAACTTGGGTAGTGTTTCTCAAGACATTTTTTTTTTAATTATTCATCCATATTTTGTTCTAATTTAGCTTAAGGAATTCTTCCAAATATCCATTTAGAATTTGGCTTAAAGTCTTGCGCGTATAGGATTTCTTAACAAATACTTGGAAAAAACTTGAGTTGTTCACATTCAATTAATAAGTAATAAATTTTGTCAAAACCTTTTACCCCCTTTCGCTGAAAAGAAAACGTTACTGGATTTTTTTAAAATAATTCAAAATACTTGGGAGCTTTTTAAACAAGATATCAGTCATTGTCCATTTTATTGTTATCTTTGAATGTAAATACTATAAGTAGGTACTATTGAACCAATAAGTCAATGCAATTGAGATAGGTATAATCCTTCTCAACCTCCGATCTGTTTCACGATAGAAAATGACGAAATAAAAGGCTCTGAAGTGGCTGGCAAATATTATATTTTACCCTTACATAAAAATTATTGTTCTGTATAAGTACCTACTAGTGTAGGTTCCAGTCAAAACAAAGGTAAAAAGCTTTCAATAGACTATTCTGTATTCATTAAATTATATCATAATTTTCCAATAACTTCTTGATGCAACCAACACCTATCTAATTAAACATAAGCCAATAACAATTTTTTAATAAAATAAATTATGGAAGCCTTTAATTCTCTCAGTGATTGTTGCATGTTCTGGTTATTTTCAAATTATTATATTGACGCACCGGAAGTCAAAAATTGAAATTGCAATAAGAATAGAATTTTATAACATGATAACTCAGTTCGTATCAACCAATAGGGTTATCAATGTTAAATTTTTTCGGGAATGATAAGTAGTTTGCATAAGAATATGATAAATACGGATCCAGCTAGATTTATAATGTATTTCCTGATGATAAGTCACTAATTACTTTAGTAGTTTTATCAGTGTTATTTGTGATAGTAATCATAATAAGTGAGCTAGTTTGCGTTAATTAAGTGAATGTAAATAATCTGTAAGTAAATAAATAATGTTTTCATCATATACCTATGTAAAGTATTCACAAAGAAATAAATAAAATTGAGGATTAAAAAAGTATTATTATGGCTATTGCATCATTATCATCAAATAATTAAATTTAATTATTTTCATTACAACAAAATGTTTGACAGAAAATTGTTGTCCCTGCTGAATATTAGTAAAAAACTCCCTCACTATGTAAGAAGGCAAAAAGGTGAACTTTAATTTTACAGAAAAAGTATAGTTTTCGTCCTTTCAGCAAAAAATGACGCGATTCCTGTTACTTCTCCTGTTACCAGCATTGGCATCGTGCAGGATTTTAACATCAGGGGACATCCTGAGCAACGAAATCAACGATGATGATTGCAATTTGCCAGAAGCTCTAATAACAGAAATTCGATCCTTCGAAGAAACTGCCAATACAATTATGAACAGCATATTGAATGGGAAATTCAAGGTAAGTTTTTAACGTACCTATGTTATTCTCCCTACTCCTAAACATAATATATTTTTGTAGGGTGCAACTTTTTCAGAATTAGCCGAATTCGTTGATACCTTTGGAGCTAGAGTATCTGGAACGAAAAATTTAGAAAACGCCATAGACTATGTACTAGACAAAATGAAATCGAATAATTTGGAAAATGTTCATGGCGAAGAAGCTTGGGTGCCACATTGGGTAAGGTAAGACAAGTTTTTTTTTTTGTAGTTGGCAACAACTCACCCAAATTTTCTACTAGAAATGAAGAAACTGCCCAAATCATCCTACCAAGAAACATAAACCTACCAGTGTTAGGACTTGGCGGTTCTGTTAGCACTCCAAAAGGAGGTAGACTCAATTTTCATAAATTATAGTAGGTAAATAAAACATCAATTCTTAGGCCTTGAAGCTGACGCAATTGTCCTAAACACCTTTGAACAACTGGACACTGAAAATGTAACGGGCAAAATTGTGGTATTCAATGAAGATTGGGTGAGCTATGCTGTTACTGTAAAATTTAGAAGCAAAGGTAAGAATAATTATTTCAGCAATACCTATTACTAATGACGGTCGTAGGTGCAAGTGAAGCTGCAAAACGCGGAGCAGTTGCCACACTTATCAGATCAGTAACGTCGTTTTCAATGTCAACTTTGCATACTGGTTGGCAGCAGTATGAAGATGGGATAACTGCGATCCCTACTGCTTCTATTACTAAGGAAGATGCTTTACTTTTGCAAAGAATTCAAGTATGAATTTAAATATATTGTAGTTACTCAAATAAATATTGCCAACATTTTAGGATAGACAACAAAGAATTCGCATAAAATTGAACCTGCAATATACCAGATACAATGATTCATTGTCTCGCAATTCTGTTGCTGAAATTCAAGGTAAATATTGCTTTATAAACATGCAAAAAGATTGATAAAGTATTTCTCCAGGCTCATTAGACCCCCAGAAAGTGGTTCTTGTTAGTGGCCACATTGATAGTTGGGATGTCGGTGTAGGTGCCATGGATGACGGTGGTGGTGCCTTTATCAGTTGGTACGCCTTGGTGGTGCTGAAACAGTTAGGACTCAGACCTAGAAGAACAATGAGGCAAGTGAAATCAACAACATTGTAATATCTAATTTGTTCATTTATAGAGCTGTTCTCTGGACAGCAGAAGAACCTGGTTTAGTCGGTTGGTCAGCTTACAACGCGTCCCACTTCCATGAATTAGATAATTTCACTTTTGTTATGGAATCAGATGAGGGAACCTTTACTCCTTTGGGCGTTGAATATGCGGCTGGAACCGAAGGTGGATGCATTATTAAAGAAATTGTCAAGTAAGTGCAAGGTTTCACTTTAAGCTTATATTGCATTGTTATTTTATTTCAGATTATTGGCACCCATAAATGCAACTCGAGCTGTTGCAAGTGCAAGAGGGGTTGGTTCCGATATTAGCTCTTGGACAGAATCTCTGATACCCGGAGCAAGTCTTCTTAATGCAAATGAAAGGTATTAGAATATCTTGAAAATTATTTGTCGTTTTCTATTGTTCTCTATCTTTAGGTATATCTGGTTTCACCACACTCAGGCCGACAGAATGGAAGTATTAGATCCTGATAATTTGGATAAGGCTACAGCTTTATGGGCTGTCGTCTCATACATTATAGCTGATTTGAGTGAGGATTTCCCAAGATCAAGAAATGTTTCAAATTAAAGTAACAATGTGATAAATCTAGAAAAAAATTGTTTAAACATGAAATTTTCTAGCCTAAATGTGGTATTTTAAATTAAACTCAATCTTACAACAGATTCATTGTTTTATTAATTTGTTATAATAACTATTTTACAATATATAAACATTAAACAAAAGTTTAAATTTGAAAGGTGGATAAACCAAACATTTAAAAAATATGTATTTACAATAAAAATAAAGAAACGTGCACCGTTTTTTAAATATTTAATTAGAAACAAGAAGCCTCTTCCGTTAACAAAATATTATTTCATTACTATTAGAACAAAGCTAATAATGTGAAACTTAAACAGACAAATATGCGCAATAAATATCAACAAATAGTCTACTTCTTACGGTGTTTTATGCCACCATTTATGGCATAAAAAAATAAATATCCAAAATTGGAATAAACTGAAACACCATAAAAATATTCACTTTCTAATAGAAAAATAAATAAGTAATAATAATTTTCAGTTTTCAAATAAGACTTCTAACTTTTGCATGTGCGTATTGCAGTGAGTTAGACTTATTACTTTACTAATTTGATTTTGAGTCTAAATTATGGAAAAAATAGCCAAGGAATATTGGCTATGTAATATTTGAATGACCAAGAAATAACAGGGATTTTTTTGCTTTTACTATTATAGTACATTTTTCAAAAACTCGTTGCTCATGCTCAATATTTGTTTTAATACTAATTAACTTACTAAGCTAAGTAATACCTAGGGAAGTAATAAAGGACGAAAATACTGTCTGCAATATAAGGAGCTAAGGTTTATTGGTTTATCTTGGACTTCCAGTGTAGCTCTTTCGCAATATCTGAAAACAAAAAGCCACATTTATACAACGGTTGTAGAGTCTCTCTCAGTTTAAAAAGATTTTGGGTAATAGCAAAGTGAAAAGCTCTCATTTATTGAAATAAACTTGTCATGTCTGATGTACCTGAAGCCTATTTTAAAGGAATCCTCTTTTCAATAGTAGAACTATAAATGAATGAAATTGCACTCCATATTGGCAAAATTAGAACAGGGCAACTTGCAAACCATATTGTTGAGTATAGAACTCAAGGAATAGTGAATGCAAATCACTATGAATTTATTATGAAAATTGTATTTCAACGATATTATCTGTATAGTTTCGGCAAGACGACATCTTACGGGCCAATTTTAAGCGACTTTTTCTAGACATTTCATTCTATTGCAATAAAATTGGACCGTAAGATGTTGACTTGTAAGAGGTGGATTGGTGAACAAAGTTCCATAGAGTGGCCGGCTCATTCATCAGATTTGATCTTACTTGTGCAAACCCTCAATCGCAACTTTCTCTCGGCTGCCCGTGGAAAGCATGCTACGTAGAGGACGTAGCTCGATGATCTGTGCTGGTTCTGTTGGTTCGTTTGTTGTGTTGTTAGCGGTGTTTGATCCAAGGCGTCGGTTGTGTGTGTATACTCGTCGGCGGTGGCGGCGGGTTTAGTAACCTGCCATGACCACTGTCAATATTATCGTGATTATGCCATTGCTCGCATATGTGTGGTATCGGATTTTTTTCCATATTGTATTTTCATACTATTGAGTAACTGGCTATTACTGGAACGGTTTCTAGCCTTCTTGGCGTCAGAATATGTTTTCTGGTTTTTATGATACAGTCTTGTGATACTTGGAGTGTCCCATTATTTTCCAGGCTGATATCTTCTCTGATGACGTTGCACGTAATGGCTAGCTGCGTTGGTGATGCTGCGATAAAAAGCTATGTATTTGGCATTTTACAATCTTCTCCATACGCGATCGCATTCTTCCACAAGAAGAGGTTGCTTGACGTCCGTAAGTTTCGTCTAGAACACAGTGCCAGGGCCGGTATTCTGGTTCTCAAAAACGCTCACCGCTTTCTAGTCGCTCGGCACTTTAAATGCAAATTTACATTGAAACTGCCGAGCGACTGAAAAGCGGTGAGCGTTTTCGAGAACGAGAATACCGGCCCAGGTTCGATTCTAAGTTTTTAACAGTGGTGGAATTGCATACAAAATCCGTGCTATCGCCTGGATCACACGATGAAAATTCTTCGTCATTTTGCAAAAAGTATTGTTGAAGCCTATTGCTAGTACATCATTTGGAATGTCTAATGTCCAATAAGACCCATTTTCGAATTTCAGTGGAGTTGGAATTACCTTTAGCAACTGAAAATCTATCTCTTCAATGATAAAATATCCAAAAATTCTATACATACTTTCACTTTGCTCTGGTAAGCATGATTTTTGTTTGGTGTTGAGATGACTTTATAAGTTCTTCTAGATTAGTTTTCAGGCTATTGATATCCATACATACTTCTTCGTTGAGTCCAAATACCGCCGTTAGTACTTTTACAAGAATTCCTCTTTTTTACGTCTGTTCAGGAATTGTTGACTCCTTTTTACTAATTCCACTTCTTTTTCTTGTTCTTTGATTAGATAGCTGCATTGGGATTCTTCTGTTAGGTTATTGGTGCTACTGCATATTTCGTCAAATTGGGACACGACCTGTTCTACTTCTCTTGCATCCTGGTTAATTTTGGTTTTGTTGACGTCCAGTTAGTTGCAGTCGAAATAAGCCTCTGTTTATTCTCGCGGTGCCTAGATGTTCCACGTTGATTCCTTTTTCTGGTATATGGATCGTGTAGTTTGCCGAACTGGTAGTTACACACATTATGCCTGTCATCAACATCAACATGATGAAAGGTAGGTTAATTCTCCTATGCTGTTTCTGGTAGATACTAGTTGACGTATTTGTTTGAATAACTTGGTTTTGAATCGCTTCTTTCTCAACTTTCTCGCCACTTTCTTGGTCAAGTGGCACCAACCTTGTTATTGCCCTTTTTACTTCAACGTTACTTCTTTTTTTTATCAATACAACTCGTACCATGCCGTCTCGGCTTGGTTGTACTTTTGTGATTCTTCCTAAGGGCCATTTTCATGGGCTGATATCTTCATTTATGAGCACTATTGTGATAATCTTTAATTTTTTTCAGGAGTTTTCCACTTGTATCTCATCTTAGCCTAGATTGGTTTATGGCAAGACCTTTAGGCTTTAAAGCCAAATCTATAGTGTTTCCTTGAGTCTTCCTTGGAAGTCGTGAGATTAGAATGGACACATGGCCATTTGCTACAACATTTAGAAATATATGGGAGGTTTCACACCGGAGTAGCGTCGCAAAAATGCGACGTGGCAAGTGGCAACATGTGTCGTATATTTAGATAGTTTGCATGCTCCCTACTCAAGTCGAACGTCGCATGCTACTTTGGTGTGAATACCCACTTAAGGTCTCAAAAAGCGACTCAGGGGCGGATGGGCCAGCAGGAATTTTGGGTTTTCCCGAAGTGTTGCTTGCAAGGGCGGAAGGGCCGCTTGCTTCCGGGCCGGTCCAACCGACCCGAAAGCATAGGACAGGGTGTTTCAATCACGAACATCGAAACAGAGGTGTTCTAGGGTATTTTAAGGTCGATCAAAAAATCCGTTCGGACACGTCATTTTTGTATTCAAGGGGAAAACTTTTTGACCCCATCGATATTTCGCTAAGGTGCACCCCCTAGAAGGTGTGACTTCCACTCCACTTTTTTAGATCAGGAAGATGGGGCGAGTGGTACCTTGTTTTAAAGGTATTTTGATTCTCGTCACAACTGCGTTTTTTTTTTTTTTGAAAATCGAATGATTAGTTCTCAAGATATTCACTGTCAAAGTTGCCATGGGATGAACGAGAAACAATCTTCTGGCCCTGTTATTCTTGAATTAACACATTCCTGACTTTCCTCTCGGACACACGAATTTACATTTTTTGCATGCTTCTGAAAAAATAAAAATTGGCCGTATCCCCACTATACATTAATTTATTATCCTGAATCGAGCCACAAAATTTCCTGATCTAAGATTTAGAAAAATACATGAAATGGTTTTAAAATGAGTATTTTGTATTTTTAATTCCAAATACCCCTATTCTATTCTCTCCAGAGTCCCTATTCGCGAAACAGGGGAGCCACAATCCCAGGGAACGTGTTCCGTCTTTCTCAATGATATGCAAATGATAATGTAAGTGACAAAGACGAAACACTATAGTTCTCCTGGGAACGCTGCTCCCCTGTTTCAAGAATAAGGAGCCTGGGGTGTGCGGATACCACTGATCTCAAAAATAAATAGATAAACAATCGTACGGCTTGATTAACTAAACTTGTTCGAAAATTTGGGGTCAATCTTCTACGAACAGTTGTGCAACAGAACAGCCTTACGCCTGCGCAGTGTTTATCTTTTAAACAACTGTTCTAAATCTTGAAATATCCTTCATTTTAATTGGCTATATTTTGCGCACGCACAGTTGTTTACATATGACCTCGTAAATTAGCAGCATTAGAAGCGTTCTTTGTCTATCCATTTATTTGTTAGATCAGTGGCGGATACCTGTACTGGAGCTCGTGGCTCATTATGCCCCCCTTAAGTTCTCATATCAGGTCCACTCCCTTAGTAAAACCTAGGATGTCTAGGGTTGCCACCTCTCCGGGTTTTCACATAGGGTCTCCGGGCTCCGGATTACTAGGTGTTTTCTCCGGGTAAAACCGCATTTAACAAAAAAACGCATTTTCAACAAAAAAAAAAACGTAAAAATAATTCTTATGTCCAGGAAACAAAATAACATTTAGCAACAGCGTAATACTGTTCCAGCTCTCCCTCAAGGATATTACACAGTATTATAGGATTGCTCATCGGCCTCGATTTTTGGAATCAAGGTCATATGGAGTTGCACCGTTGCCGACATCATCAACGGTGCCGTTGTTAGTTAACAAAAACCTCAGATTGTGTCAATTTCAATATGAGATTGTTTTTGTGTGGCACAATCCGAGGTTGTTGTTTGCTAACAAGGACTTGACTAACGATTGATCAACGATTGATCTCGTCGCCATAAATGTACTAAAACCAAGTATGCATAAAGCAAAACTCAGCGAAATCATAAGGTTTGTTTGTTTGTGTTGTTCGGGGCAGCACTCCCTGCTTTGGGGCGTTCGTTTGTGAGCGTTTTATATGGATTATCTGCCATAATCTGAAATATTACAGCTTAGTTCAAGTTAGTGCGACACAAACAAACAAGCTTATAGCCTGTGCTGCAAACACCCTACGTCAAAGGCGAGAAACGACACGCTGTCTACGTCATTACTGGTGCTTTGGCGTGGTGGAGGCTTGAGATTTGATCTACAGAGGCCATATGCGGATAGGCTATCCTATGACCTATGGTCGTCCTATCCTGTGTAGTGTGTAATAGTCCTTGGATCTACCTCTCCAACCGTCTCAACTCTCAACCCTGAAGTATCGTTCGGTGATGCCAGGGGAGACTTGTGTATAGAGATAAAGTGTACCTAATGCATCTGTTATTAAAATCAATAGGTCTGTTTCTCAGAAATCACAAACCAGTCAGAACGAAGAAACAAAAAAGAAAACAGTCTTTCAACCAATGAAATTCACTCTGACTGGTTTGTGATTAGCTTAATAGCCGATTTTTAAATCTTTTTACTCTTATGGCGCTTTGGTGGCGCATTTTAATGTTAAAACTGGCGCATGAAAGTTGATAATACCTGGCAACACTGCAGCGTGGTCAGTTCTTCACAGGTTAATGTTGTATCTCCCATTATTCTTTCCAAGTGTTTCATCGACTTTACTCCGGCTTCCCATATACCTCCAAAATGCGGCGTTGCTGGGGGGATGAAATGCCACTAGGTACCAAGAGTATTGATTTGAACTCAAGTTTCTGGATCTTCTGTGATTTGTTTGATTTCCCGCTCTAAGTGATTGGCTGCTCCCACAAAGTT